TCGACAGCGCTTACCAAGCTGATTTCCCCGACAGCCAGGAGCTCTTCATCACCCTTACAGAGATCCCCTACCAACCCTCCCCAGCATGTAACCGGGACACAGATTCAGGCGAAGGATCAAGCGGTAAGTGCTTCAAACATATTAACCTTTATTTTTTACAAAACTTGAATATTAATACTAAGAACAATCTGTGAATCATGATTTCTTCCCCCTGGGCGCTTAAGTAATCAGTAACAACTATTTAAAAAAAATCAAACAGTGTCCGGTTGTGCATGATTGTGCTGCCCAAGCTGCTCCACTCTTTAGTCCCTGCTACTGCAGCTACATTAGAATCCTGTCTATATGTCCGGGGATAGAGCAGTAGTCCTCCACGGACATCTCCACAAAGCTCTCCTGCAGGTAATGGGATAGCCTGTTCATCAGGTTCCTGGGGAGAGCGGCTTTACTTGGTCCTCCGAAGTAGGAGACGTTCCCGCACCAGGAGACAAGCAGGTACTCCGGTATCATTGCCTTGCATAGCATGGCGGCATAGGGCCCCGGTCTCTGCAGGCTTTCTCGAAGCATCCGTTGGATCTCGGTGTCCGGGATCCTCATGAGAGTAATGTCGCTCATGATTACCTGCTTTGAATTAGGTAGGGGACTGTTAGTATTGGGACTGCTTGCAACAAGTTCCTTTACAGAACTGTGACCGCTGGTTTACAGCCACGCGGTGGGGGCGGGAGAGGGGCAGCATACAGGGATCTTTCCCTGGCTCATCCGCGAGGGGGTGGGACAGGGCCAGAGTTCCTGCTTGGCCGATTGCTGTCAGCACAGACTGGCAGTGCTTTCAATGTGAAAGGAGGCCAGTGGTACTCCTAAAGTTTTAAGCAGCCACAAGTCTACGGCTTACCATGTTTGCCTGCTACAGAGAGTACCGTGTCCTGCCCCGCTTCCCAGATCGGCAGTGCAAAAGCCCAGGCACTGAAGGCGAGGTTCGAAAATTCGACCTTGTCCTGAGTGCGCATGTGATAGGTGTGGTTCATGGTCTTGTTCACAGAGAAAAACTGTTCTTGATTCACAACCACATTTATCTTTCGGAGGAATTCACTGCCTTTTCCTCATTCCCACAGCCACATCTGCAACTGTCTCCCAACCCTGCTTGGCATCACACTCCCAGAGGCGAGCGCACATTAGGCGGAGGAAGAAGAAGACGCGAGAAGACATGTTCTCAGAACTAATGGGCTGCTCCCGAGCCCAGGCAGCACAGCAGAACCAGTGGAGGGAGAATTTGTCACAAATGCACCGGACACACATGGAACGTGAGGAGAGGTGGCGGCAGGAAGACCAGCAGGCGACTCAAACGCTGCTTGGACTTCTGAGGGAGCAAACGGACACGCTCCGGCGCCTTGTTGATGTTCTGCAGGAACGGAGGCAGGAGGACAGAGCCCCGCTGCAGTCTATCAGGAACCGCACTCCCCCGCCACCAAGTCCCATACCCCCCTCTCCCAAAGTCCAAAGAAGGAGGGGTGGCAGAGTCCGTGAAAACTCTCACTCCACCCCTGCAGACTGCTCAAGCACCAGAAGGCTGTCATTCCCCAAAATTTGAAAAGTCCTTTCCTGCCCGCCTCACCCAAGCCCCCGTCCGACTTTCACCCCCCAGTTTCCTGTCTGGTTGTTAATAAAAAATACGTTTCTGTTCATTACTGTTTCAGTCAGGTTCTTTTGAGGGAGAGTCTGTCTGAAGGGGGGGAAGGGGCTTGGTAATTGGACAGGACAGTCACCTTTAGCAGGGTACAGAGGCGGGGGCAGGGCCAGCAGCAGGGCACATACACAGTGCAGTGACTAGTTACCCTGGTCAGTCTGGGAGGTGGTTTTCATCTTCTGTGGGGGGCGGGGGGTGGTTGTTTGCTCTGTGACTTTGTGGCGGGGGAGGGCAGTTACAGATCTTATGCAGCGGTCCTTGTCCTGGATCACAGAGCCACGCAGCAGGGGAGCTGTAACCCTCCTCCCCCTGCCATAAAGTCACATAGCCCCCACATACACGCAGTCCCGCTCAGGAGGGCTGGCAGGCTCCGTTGAAACAACCAGTCCGCCACTGCGAATCCTGTCATTCCTGGAGTTTAGAAGGATCATTTGCATCAGTACACTACACCCGCTCCCCACCACAGTCTGCGTCCCCGGTTTCAAAGATTCCCGCGAAAACAGTACTAAAGACAACGGTGTTCAATAACAAAATAAAACTGATTTTATTTTTTTGGAAGGGGGTGGAGGGGGTCTGTAACTGGAGAGGATAGTCATCCTTAACTGGGTAAAGAAACGGGGGCAGGTTCAGCTTCTCTGTACAGAAACTTAAAAGTCACTGGTTACCCTGCTCACTGTGGAACCTAGCTTTCAAAGCCTCCCGGATGCACAGCGCGTCCTGCTGGGCTCTTCTAATCGCACGGCTGTCTGGCTGGGCGTAATCAGATGCCAGGCTATTTGCCTCAGCCTCCCACCCCGCCATAAAGGTCTCCCCCTTGCTCTCACACAGATTGTGGAGCACACAGCAAGCAGCTATAACAATGGGGATATTGCTTTCGCTGAGATCACAGCGAGTGAGTAAGCTTCTCCATCTCCCCTTGAGACGTCCAAAAGCACACTCCACCACCATTCTGCACTTGCTCAGCCGGTAGTTGAACAGTTCTTTTTCAGTGTCCAGGGCGCCAGTGTAGGGCTTCATGAGCCAGGGCATTAGCGGGTAGGCTGGGTCCCCAAGGATCACTGTAGGCATCTCCACATCCTCAAGAGTTATTTTGTGGTCCGGGAAGTAAATACCTTCCTGCAGCCATCTAAACAGACCAGAGTTCCTGAAGACGCGAGCGTCATGAACCTTGCCCGGCCATCCAACGTTGATGTTGGTAAAACGTCCCCTGTGGTCCACCAGTGCTTGCAGCACCATCGAAAAGTAGCCCTTTCGGTTGATGTACTGGCTGGCCTGGTGGTCCAGTCCCAGGATAGGGATGTGAGTTCCATCTATAGCCCCACCGCAGTTTGGGAATCCCATCGCGGCGAAGCCATCTATGATGACCTCCAGGTTTCCCAGGGTCACTACCTTTGAGAGCAGTACCTTGACGATTGCGTTGGCTACTTGCATCACAACAACCCCCACGGTAGATTTGCCCACGCCAAACTGGTTCGCGACAGACCGGTAGCTGTCCGGCGTTGCAAGCTTCCAGAGGGCTATGGCCACTCGCTTCTGGACAGTCAGGGCTGCTCGCATCCGGGTGTCATTGCGCTTCAGGGCAGGGGACAGCAACTCACAAAGTTCCATGAAAGTCCCCTTCCGCATGCGAAAGTTTCGCAGCCACTGGGATTCGTCCCAGACCTGCAGCACTATGCGGTCCCACTAGTCCGTGCTTGTTTCCCGTGCCCAGAATCGCCGTTCCACAACATCCACATGACCCATTGTCACCGTGATGTCCTCGGTGCGGGGTCCCGTGCTTTCTGACAGGTCTGTGCTACTCTCAGACTTCAGGCCCTCACCGCGGTGCCGTAGCCTCCTCGCCTGGTTTATCTGCATCTGTCTCTGGGAAAGGTGGATGATAACCTGCGAGGCGTTGACAAGGGCCACAACTGCAGCGATGGTCGCAGCGGGATCCATGCTCGCAGTGCTGTGGCGTCCGTGCTGTCACTGACCCGAAAAGTGCGTGAACTGATTTCCCGCCGGCGCTTTCAGGGAGGGAGGGAGGGCGGTAGTGACAGACGGATGACGACAATTACCCAAAAGCACCCTCGACCCTTTTTTTTTTTACCCAGAAGGCATTGGCGGCTCGACCCAGAATTCCAATGGGCAGCGGGGACTGCGGGAACTGTGGGATAGCTGCCCACGGTGCACCGCTTCCAATGTCGACGCTTTCCCCGTTAGTGTGGACTCACAAAGTCGAATTACTGTCCTTAGTGTGGACACAAGTTCGACTTTGCAATATCGATTCCACATATTCGATTTAAGTGAAATCGAAATACCCTCGTAGTGTAGACATACCCTGAGATGATTTAAAGTTTGAATTTTTATTCTCAAACACTTAAGGGGGGTGAAGAATAATTTAAGAAAAGAGTGGACATGAACATCCAGTAATATACCTGCAGAGAAGTAGGGCTTTTTTTGTTTTACGAGACAAGGCATGAACCAACTTGGACCTAAGGTTTTCTCCATCCTTCTACACAGAGCATGACAAATTTAACAAAATAATAAGAGTGGTGTGAAAGAGAGCCCTCTTTCTCTACTCTTGCTTCCAGGAATGGAGGATTCAGTTGCTGCAGCAGCAGGGAAACTGATCATCTTGTGACTTTTCTGGTGCACTGTCATTTGCCAAACTTTCTCACTTGCCACTCTTTTTCAAGCTTTGTATATTTATAAACTTAGTTTAGCACTTGGTTCATTTGCTTTTTCATGAAGTTTCAAAATCTGTGAGAGAACAGTTAAACACCCTGTTGAAGGTAGGGGGGAGAAGGTAACAAGTGAAATAGAAAATGTTGCATGTCAGGATCTGTCCCAGGTGACAAAATAGTTGCTGATTGTGATTGCAGATGACACAGGGTACCTGAGTCATTGTTTCAGACTTGAATGTATTGTTGAGGCCAGGGCTTTGGAGCGGAGCCCGGAGCTGGAGCGCGGAGCAGCTCCGGAGCGGTGGAGCTGCAGGTTTTTGCCTGGAGCCGGAGCACAGCTCCAAAGCCCTGGTTGAGGCTCCCCATTTGCCATCTGAGATGCACTAGCCTCAAGGGGACACGTGTCTGAAGTGGCAAATGGGTGAGCATTACATCAGACACCCCACATGATGTGACAGGCCTGAGTAACTTAACCGGGGGTTGTTGGTGCCACAGGACCCTCTGTTACTTCTTAAGTTTTTGTATGTTTTAGGTGAAGTTTTGTTATCTAAAGACTGAATACTTTTTTACTTATTACATGTATTTCACTTAATTGCAACAGTGACACCTTTTTATTCATCAGGATTAATGTAAAAAAATGTTCTTTCATGCAGGACACAGCTTAGGCTATGGCTTTGTGAACTATGTGAGTGCTAAAGATGCTGAAAGAGCAATAAACACACTGAATGGCCTGAGACTTCAGTCAAAAACAATCAAGGTAACAAGCATGGATTTTAAAGCTTAATATTGTAAAAGTGTAACTTATACATAAAGAACAGTTAACTGAAACTCTGTCTTCTAAAACTTTAATGCATTCTCCTAGTAAGTTGTCTCCCCAATTCCTTTTAGACTTCTATGTGCCTTGCAAGGTTAAAAGCTCAAGAATGAATGTTGGTTTAATATCTTGCATAACTTAAAGCAGTGCTGCTTTTGACGTAAGAAAATGTTTGAAAACCTTAGCTGGTGAGATAAATTATTTTGAAAACTTCTAATTAGCATTTTGTTGTTTCATTACTGTCTTAAAACTGGACTGATTTTGGACTGATTTTTCATAAATGCTGGTCACCCAGCAGCTGCTACTGAATTAAGTGTGGATTGCTGAGTATTCAGCATTTTTTGTTTTCCTCTTGAGTTCCCAAAGTATCTGTCTCCTTGATGATACCACTGTAAAGCACAATAGCCACCCCAAGTAGGCAGCTCAAATAGCGCCCATTTGTTTTGCAAATATATTTGTCAATTATATTGGTAACTTACATTGGAAGAAGTTCTTATAAGTCTGAGACTTTTTAGATTCCATGCTCAGATAAATATTTAGTTTTGTCATTTTGCTGTTCTTGAGTGAATGCTGTGCACTCAAGAGAGAGAGCACCAGAAACTGGGAACAGGGTGTTTATAGGGGAACCGTGCAGTGGAATGAGCTGTCAAACACCTCAGCTTTTGTAATAGCTTTATTTTCAAAGATTCTCTCTCTCTCTCTCTCTCTCTTCCCTTCCCTCCATTTTTTTAGAGCACCCATCACTATAGTATCTAGGTGCCAATTTACATACTCCTGGTGTACATAATTACTGGCAGGTCATGGGTTCTATCCCAATGCCATATGTGACGACTGTGGTGTCTGTGCACAGTAGGTAAGATTATTCCAGATTGTTGCCTGGCTTTTGGATTGAACTCATGTGAATCTCAGGTACTCAATAAGCTCTGCCTTAAAACAAAGGAAAGATGTGCACAATGTATATATGCCATTGCCCTGAAATGGATAGACTCTCAGATCTGCTGAAATATTTGCTTGTAACTTTCTTTTTCTGTAGTAGAAGAGTTGAAAAGAGGATAAAAGGTGTACTTCTGCTAAAGGTAGCCATCTTACAGCAAAAAAACTTCAGGACCAGACTCCAAAGAGAAACTGCTGAGCTCCAGTTCATTTGCAAATTTGACACCATCAGATCAGGATTAAACAAAGACTGTGAATGGCTATCCAACTACAGAAGCAGTTTCTCCTCCCTTGGTGTTCACACCTCAACTGCTAGCAGAGCACCTCACCCTCCCTGATTGAATTAACCTCGTTATCTCCATACTGATTTATACCTGCCTCTGGAGATTTCCATTACTTGCATCTGAAGAAGTGAGGTTCTTACCCACGAAAGCTTATGCTCCCAATACTTCTGTTAGTCTTAAAGGTGCCACAGGACCCTCTGTTACTTTTTACAGATTCAGACTAACACGGCTACCCCTCTGATACTTCTGCTAGTTAACTGTCCCTAACTCCGGTTCTAAAAGCCTGTATTGATGTCATGAGTTCTTCAACTGGTACGCTCTGTGCTTGAATATGATTATTGGTTCTTAGTAGGCACTGAAATTATTACAAAATAACACATATGATACATGAAGCAAAACTCATGTCAGGGCTGCTCAATGTATCATATGTCAGTTGGCAGCATCAATGCTGGGCCTATAGTTGGCTCATCAGAGTAATGATGCCACTTAGGGGCACGTCTACACTGGCAAAGTTACAGCGCTGCTCAGAGAGTGCTGAAGGGAAACTACTGCTGTGTGTCCACACTGTCAGCTGCCTGCGCAATAGCATGTTCACACTTGCAACAGTATTCGGAGCGGTGCACTCTGGGCAGCTATCCCGCAGAGCACCTCTTTCTCTTCTGCCGCTAAGACTTGTGGGAAGGCTGAGGGGGTCGCGGGGCATCCTGAGTCCTGTCCCAGTGACCCGTGATGCATTGTTTCGCATCCCAGCAATCCCTGTGGTTCCGTCCGTGATTGGCGCCATCTTTCAACGGTTTGTGTACTGTGTGCCCTGCCTCTTCGGGCTGCAGGAATGGATCCTGAACTGTTGACCACTATGCTGCTCGCTCTGATTAACACGTCACGAGTGGCAGTGGAGTTATTTCTTAAACTACAAAGGCAAGAGGAGTGTGACATTTCGGATGAGGAAAGTCACATTCATGGGACTGTGTGATTAGCTTGCCCCAGCCCTTTGGCGCAAGGACACAAGAATGAGAGCTTCCCTCCTGTTGGAGAAGTGTGTGGTGATCACTCTGGAAGCTGACTACTCCAGACTGCTACTGATTGGTCGCTAATCAGTTCGGAGTGGGAAAGTCTACTGTTGGACTCGTGTTGATGGAAGAGTGCAGGGCCATTAATCACATCCTGCTCTGAAAGACCATGACTCTGGGCAATGTGTGTGACATTGTAGATGGTTTTGCACAAATGGGCTTCCCTAACTGTGGAGAGGCGATAGATGGCACGCATATTCCAACTCTGGCACCAGACCACCTAGCCACCGAGTACATAAATTGCAAGGGGCATTTCTCAATGGTTCTCCAGACGCTTGTGTGGATCACGCATGCATCTTTCGGAACACTGGCCTGTTCAGGAAGCTGCAAGCAGGGACTTCCTTCCTGGACCAGAAAATCACCATAGGGGAAGTTGAGTTGTGATCCTGGGAGACCCCACCTACCCCTGAATGCCATGGCTTATGAAGTCCTACATGGGGCAATTTGACAGCAACAAGGAGTGATTCAACAACAGGCTGAGCAAGTGCAGAATGACGGTTGAGTGTGCTTTTGGCCGTTTAAAAGCCCGCTGGCGCTGCCTCTATGGGAAGCTGGACCTGGCCGATGACAATATTCCTATGCTTATAGCCATGTGCTGTACGCTCCTGTCAAGGCTGATTCCCCACTCTGGCACTTGGAGTGCAGAAGGTGAGGGCCCGCAAGGATTCTAAAAATTAATACTTGCCACTCCAGGCTTGTATTAAACTCCCAAGGTTACAGCTTTTCTTTGACCTTAGAATCATAGAATATCAGGGTTGGAAGGGACCTCAGGAGATTATCTAGTCTAACCCCCTGCTCAAAGCAGGACCAATCCCCAGACAGATTTTTACCTTAGGTCCCTAAATGGTCCCCTCAAGGATTGAACTCACAACCCTGGGTTTAGCAGGCCAATGCTCAAACCACTGAGCTATCACTTCCTCCTTGGATAAATGCTCAGGTATTCAAGTGAAAAACTGCCTCTTGCAAATCCTAGAAAAACTCACTTGGGAAGTTTTCCCTGAGGCCCCTCGGCTTTTCCACCCCTCCCTTGGGGAAGCTGAGAAAGAAAACAAACAAAAGGGATACCCAGCTGTTGCCACCAGCTAATTGAAAAACATATACACAGACCTTTAAGACACAAAACCAATCAGGTTTTTTAAGAAAGGTACATTTTATTAAAAAAAAAAAGAAAGGAAACACATCTGGAAAATCAGGCTATTGCTTGATTTTATAAAGCAACTGAAAAGGGGTTAAACACCAGGAATGGCTCCCTGGGGTCCAGCTTAATGTTACAAAAGAAAACAAAAATACCTGAGCTTAGCACAGAGCAAATCCACAAGCCAAAATAAAGAAATAAACCTGATGGTGTCTATCTAAACATTGCCTGTGCCAGTGAATCCTTCTAGGTATGGAATATAATTTTTCATACCTGGTTCAAACTTTACACAGCACTCCTCCTGCTGCCCGTCTCTTCAGCCAAGAGAGAACAACCGAGAGACAAAGGGAAAGCTTTTTTCCCATTTTTAAAAAGTTCTAGCCTTCCCATTGGCTCTTTTGGTCAGGTGCCCACTCCTTTTCCTTTTACCTGGGGGACTTTGTTAGCCCTTTACAGATAAAGCAAGCAGAGAACAGCCACCAAGAGAGACTATATAGCTAACTGGCTGGCTGGGTGTCCATAAAAGGGAGATACCGCGCCTCCCCCCCCCCCCCTTCATATATCACAGCTCCATAATATTTGTGAAGGGAAGGGTGAAAGCTTCACTCAGGGCTGGACCACAGAGGCTCAGCACCTGGAGGCTGAGTTTGAACAGCCAGAGACAGGGCTATTAGAGGGGTACAGCGCAGGGCCGTAAGGATCAGGGATGGCTTGAGGCAGCAATTTGAAGCTGACAGCCACTAATATTTGTTGTTATGCTCGGGATTGCAGTGCTTGTAATGCTAGGAGGTGATTGGTGCACATGATGCAATAAGGGGGTTTAACATAATTGTATGCTGCTTTGCAGTGCTGTTTTTGCTTTCAATTAATAGAATAAAGATTGCTTTCAAACCATCACAATTCTTCTATTAAAAGACAACTGGAGGAGAGAGCGAGTCAAACAAAAAAACACAGCAGGGAGGGGGATGGGAGAAGGGAAGGTCCCAGGAGGAGGTGGGGTCCCGGGATGGCTAAAGATATGTGTATGTCCAGGGATCATATCCAGCCTTCTCCTTTGGAGTACAATGCAGCGGATACTGTACTTCAGCAGGGCCAAACTGTTGAGTGCAGTGGGTAATGGGAGTCCACCGTGCTGGACTGTGAGGGGGGAGGAGTGGAATGCCGCGGGTATCGACTGGAGCCAGGAGGTTGATAAGAGTGTGTTGGCGGTGTGTCTGGGGAGTGCATGGGAAAGAGTTTTCCAAAAGCGGCTGCAGGGGAGGGCAGGCACGGAGCTGCTCGGTTTGCAGAGCTAGTATCAGCTGGAGCGTGTCCACTTGGCGCTCCATAATGTTTAAGAGCTGCTCCGTGGCTTCATTCTGATATGCCGCATTCTCCTTTTGGTCCCTTGTCTCGCTGTCCCGCCACTCCTTCAATTCCTGTTTCTCGGCGGCTGGGTGCCTCATAACATCACTCAGAAAGTCCTCCTTAGTTCTTCGTGGCCGCTTTCTAATTCTGCGCAGCCGTTAAGCTGCTGATAACAAAGAGGGAGGCTGTGCTCCCAAGGTCATCTCTGTGAAGTTTAAACGCAACATTTTACAGAAGCAGTATTGTTTTGCAACACAGAGAACACTGATTCATTGATTTAATACACAGCCAGTACTCTCGCACTTGTCACTAACTGGCTGACCCCAGGAAAGCACACATGAGCCACAAGACTCCCAAAATGGTGAGTAGCCGTAGGGTAAATCACTCTTCCCGGACCCTGCTGTATACTGAGCATGTGGCTCTTGGGGAGAGCCAGCACTGGGGGGGGGGGGGGCGTGATAATCATTCCTGTCCCCACACTTCCCACAGGATGTGATCATTATGGAAGATACCTCGCTGCTGAGGGTGAGCAGGGAATCAAGGGAGGGTCTTCTCCAAGCTTGCGGCTTCCGCCCTGGCCCCTATGCGGCTCGCCTGTGTGCAGCAATGGTCCCCCTGCTGTGATGGCACAATGGCGCAGGAAAGTTACCGATAATGGGTCAAGAAACAAAGCAGCTCTGCCAATGAACCTGTGGCAGCGGATTGCCCAGTATCTCCACGTGAGTTTCCTGAAGATCTCTGAGGGAGATTCCTGTGAAGTGAGGGAGTCAATCAACAGTCTGTTCCGCTGCTCAGTCTAGGAATGCGGTGGGAGACAAGCCTGCTTTCTGCAACCCTTCTGCCCCCAACAACTCGCTTCAGTGATTCCCAAAATCAGGTCCACTTACCAGGGGCCTGCTCTCCTGTTTGCACTTCACCAGTCTCCGACAGTTGTGACTGGCTAGCCTCCTCCAGGGTAGAAAAGAGTTCCTGGATGCATGCATCTCTGACCTCTGAGCCATCCTCTGCCTCTGGGTCCTCCTTGTCCAAGATTTCTTCCTCCTGGCTCAGTCCACTTTTGACTGGCACGTGAGCAACTGAAGTATCCGCAGTGGTCTTTGCAGTGGAGGTGGGGTCGCCGCCGAGTATCGCGTCCAGCTCTTTGTAGAACCGGCAACTTGTGGGCGCAGCACCGGACCGGCGGTTTGTCTCCTGTGCCTTGTGGTAGGCATTCTGCAGCTCCTTCACTTTGACCCTACACTGCAATGTGTCCCAGTTATGGCCCCTTTCTGTCCTGCATCGTGAAATCTGTCCATAGATATCAGAATTCCTACGACTGGAGCGCAGCTGGGACTGAACAGCCTCCTCTCCCCAAATGCCGATGAGGTTCAGCAGCTCGGCATTGCTCCAAGTGGGGGATCGCCTGGTGCGTGGAGCAGACATGGCCACTTGGAAAGATACGCTGAGACCACTGCACGCATCACCTAGCAAACAGGAAGGGGACTTTTAAATTTCCAAAGGAATGTACGGGGTGGGGATTACGGTTGGTCACCTGAGGACAGAGCAGTAGAGTTCAAACCGATGACCAGAGAGGTGAGAACAGGCATTGTGGGACACCTCGCAGCACTGTAATCGACCATGGTGTCTACGCTGGCACCGCAGTGTTGTAGCCCCAGCACAGAAAGTTGTATGCCTTTTGTTGGGGTGTGTGTGGTGTTTTTTTTTTTTTTTTTTTTTTTTTTTAAGCACTACAATTCCGCAGTTTCTGCGCACTAAGTGGCTTAGCAGTGTGTACACTTCGGGAGTTACAGCGCAGAAAGCTGCTTTACTGCGCAGAAACTTGCCAGTGTAGACAGGGCCTTGGTTTCGTTGTCAGTAGAGTCAAATAGTGAAGAGGATTGTGTGTCTTCTTTTTTTAATCAAGCACAAAAAACACTTTTGTTGCTTACTTTCCATTTCCTGGCAATCGTTTTTCCTTTTATGAAACTACCATAGGAAAATTGCCTGTATTACAAAGGAAGGATTTTAGGTGGGTGTCTTATAACACAGCAAATCATTCATGTAATTTCACATACAATAAAAAAATTTCTCTTGAAGGTGTCGTACGCTCGTCCAAGTTCTGAAGTTATCAAAGATGCTAACTTGTACATTAGTGGACTACCAAGGACAATGACACAAAAAGATGTAGAAGACATGTTTTCACGTTTTGGCCGCATCATCAACTCACGTGTACTCGTGGATCAAACTACAGGTATGCACTGTAATGTTAGATATTAAAAACTTGACTATACAGGACACAAAGAAATGTTCATTCAAAGATTATTGGTGCTTAAAATTAACTTTTAATTTTCCAGATAGTTTCTGAACATATATAAAAATTAATTGTTGAGTTTGGTATTTATCACTGTGTCCACAGAAATATAGAACTAGAATGGCAAACATCCGTGTTTTGGGGGCTTTTCTGAAACACATGACTTAGAGTCCATTTTGTAGATCGTGCTCTGTAAATTGAGAATGGTATTAAGAACACAAGATTTGCTATACTAGATTAGATCATTGGTCTGCCAGATTCAGTATCTTGCCCCCACCAATTGTCCATGCCTGGTGCTTGACGTAGAACAATACAACTATCTGATTATGCAGATAGTTCAGCACTGTAGGAGATTTTGTTACCTTTTCTTTATTTTTCCCCAGGGGAGGCAGCATGGTACAGTGGAGAGGGTATAGGCCTGAGATTCGAGAGCCCTGAGTTCTATTCCCAGCTCTGCAGCTGACCTTAGGAATGTTGCGTCACCTCTGTTGGGCAGAGGGGGCTTGTCAGGTGTGGCTGGCAGAGAATGAAAACACCAATTTTAACCCAAGAACATCTGATGTGGCCATCTGGTTTACAAAAGTTGTGCCAATCACACATGCTCTGTGAGTCTGCACTGCCGACCTCAGCTGCTGGACAAGGCGAAGCAAAAAAGCACTTTTCACAGACAGATATTATTTAGCGGTAAAATCCAGCCTATCCTTTTATGTAAAAGGATAACTTGTTACCTTACATTTAATCAACTTGAAATTGATCTGTGATTGTGCTTCATAATTTCTCATTGCACTTAAGTATATCTGGAGTTTCATGTCCCCTCTCAGCCTTCTCTTTTCCAGACTAAACAAACCAAATTTTTTCAATCTTCCCTCATAGGTCATGTTTTCTAGACCTTTAATCATTTTTGTTGCTCTTCTCTGGACTCTCTCCAGTTTGTCCACATCTCTCCTGAGATGTGGCGCCCAGAACTGGACACACTACTCCAGTTGAGGCTTAATCAGCACTAAGTAGAGCGGAAGAATTACTTCTCGTATCTTGCTTACAACACTCCTGCTAATACATCCCAGAATGGTGTTTGCTTTTTTTGCAACAGAGTTACACTGTTGACTCATATTTAGCTTGTAATCCACTATGACCATCAGATCCATTTCTGCAGTACTCCTTCCTAGGCAGTTGTTTCCCATTTTGTATGTGTGCAACTGATTGTTCCTTCCTAAGTGGAGTACTTTGTATTTGTCCTTATTGAATTTCATCCTATTTACTTCAGACCATTTCTCCAGTTTGTCCAGCTCATTTTGAATTTTAATCCTATCCTCCAAAGCACTTGCAACCCCTCCCAGCATGGTATCGTCTGCAAACTTTATAAGTGTCCTCTTTATGCCATTATCTAAATCATTGATGAAAATATTGAAGAGAACCGGACCCAGAACGGATGCTTGCGGGACCCTGCTCGTTATGCCCTTCCAGCATGACTGTGAACCACTGATAACTACTCTCTCGGAATGGTTTTCCAACCAGTTTTGCACCCACCTTATAGTAGCTCCATCTAGGTTGAATTTTGGAGATGGCGACTCATGAAAGATTACACAAGTGCACTCTTTGAACCCGAAATGACACTAACTGTGTAGCTGTTGCAGGAAGTATCTTGTACACATGGAACAGCTAAGTTAGCCATGCCATATGCAGCACAGCCTTCCTTCCCTTTAAAATACTGGTAAAAATTGCACGTGCAGAACTTTGCTAAACAATTGTACAAAAATTTAGTTTTCTGATCCTCATAACTTGGACCGGTCAAAATAATTTTTCATTGGAGCACTCAGATGCTCCTCAGTGAGGGCCATTCTCTTGCCAAATTCCAGCTTTCTGCTCCCAGTTGCTTCCCATGGAAGATATGGCCAAAAATAGTCACATTTTGATAATGGAAGAGGTTCCCCCATGCACTCATTCTCCTTGTACACAAAGACAGTGAAACTATTTGATCTGACATCCCTTGAAATAGAGACCGGTCCTAGAAAACTTCATTCCAGTGTGTGAAAGTTTCTCAAAGTTGAGTATTTGAAAACAGGGGCTTCTCATAGAAATGATCAGCCTTTTCAATTATAGCAGTTATAAATGTTGCAGTTGTAGCGTTGGTCTTAAATACAGGCTCTTAGTGCCCTATTAATAACTTTTCTGCACTTTAAGCAACAGCTATGTATTAAACTTGGTTGTCACATAACCAGTTTTTAATCTGTCTCATGAGAAGACCTTGTCCCTTAGGATGTAATTCTTTCATTTTCCTGTGTAGTTTCTTCTCCTAAGTCCCATAGAACAGTACAGACAATGTTAATTTTAGCAAACTTGTATATAGTGCCATAACTTTACATGGTCTTTAGAGATTAAAAGATAGGGCCATGACCTGAAGCGTTTACAAACTGAATTAGACAAGCATATAACATGAAGATAAACAAGAGAAGGGAATAGGGAAATTGAACAATGTATTAAAAATAATAAAAATGTAAGTGCTGTTATACTGCAAGCAAATTATAGGTGATCTATTTCAAATGGTAACTAAGGTAGGGCAGGAGAGAGGACTAAAAGAGCACAGCACAGAGTAATCGAAAAGTGAGACTGTGCATTAGACTGGGGTATAGTGCCTGCTGGAAGCTAGGAGTTGCAGCTGCTGTGACACCCTTTGTGAGGATATAGTGTGTTCTTCCTCCCCTAGCATAGGAACATCTCTTCTGGCTGGTGCAGGGGGTATGTGAGAACGTGACCAGATGGACCACTAGTGAGATCTAATCTGGTTAAGTCTCCTGTTTTTGACAATAACTGGTACCAGATACATCAAGGTGCGAGAAACCCCCAAATGGGAGATCATAGAGTAACATAACCTGTTCATGGCACTGCTCCTTCCCAGCTAACTTTGGAGAGGGTAGTGTCATTGTTGGCGCTACCCAAGTTGAGTCTTTACACTCAGGAAAGAACATGAACGTCAACCTAACTCAGGCACCTCAGAGCTACACAGTGTTTCCTTAGTGCAGGGACTAAGGTAAGGGCCACGCTCAGTTTCAGTCCCATGTGCTTTAAAATCATGCAGTGAATGCGGCAAAAGCTCCTGAATTGAAAGACTCCGAATGCATCAAGTAGAATAATGTAACCATAACTATACTAGGAAGCAGGAGATGTGGGTTCCACCCAGCTCTCCCACTCACTTGCTTCATGACCTTGATTACATCACTTTACGCTTCCATTTCCTCCATCTGTAAAATGTAGATATGTACCCACCTTTTTAAAAACACTTTCCAGTCTGTGTAATAAATGCTATATAAATGTTTCAGACTCTTATTGTTACTATACCTATGCACATCTTAAAAAAAAAAAAAAAAAAAAAAAAGGAGGGGGAAGGTTCAGAGAAGAGCCAGTACAATGATTCTAAGTCTGGCAAACCTGCCTTAGAGTGAGAGACTTAACCCTCACTTTGATAAGCTAAATTGAATGAGCTTCTTAAGAGATGACTTGATCACAGTTTATGACTATATATGTTAGGAGAAGATTTCTGATAGTACAGGGCTCTTTTATCTACCAAAGGTCTAACAAAATCCAGTGTCTGAAAGTTGAACCTAGACAAAATCAAATTAGAAATTAAGTGCAAATTTTTGAGCAAGAGTAATTAACCATTGGAAAAACTTCTGAGGGGGTGTGGTGGAGTTGGCATCAGTTGAAGTCTTTAAAACACAATAAGATGGCTTTTTAAGAGATGCTCTAGCTTAACCACAAATAATGTGCTTGATGCGGGAATCACTGAGTGAAATTCTATGGCATGTGTTCAGCAGATCAGACCAGACAATCGTAATGGTCTCTTCTGGCCTTTGAATCTGTGAAATAGTGTGTGTCGTCAACATGCATTCATTTCCTATTTGGAAATTATGTTTCAGTTTTAGGTCTCTAGATGTTTTGAGTAACAAAACTGAGCAAAAACAAAAAATGATTTTTAGCCCAATAGTCACTTTGCATTTCTCCTTTGAAAAAGTTTTAGTTGATCTGAAATATTTTTCCTTTAATGTCAGTTGACAGTGGGTTTCCTAGAACACTTGTACATTGTACAGTTTTTGGACTATGAACTAACATGTTATAAATGTGTTTTGCTCCACCATCATTATATATTTGAAGTAAATGTGCTCATTTGTGTTTAATTTCCTAATTATTTTTAAATGTTTTGATTTCATCCTTTTGAAGAACTACCAGTAAAATTGTAGAACTTTAAGTATTTCTAAGGTCATGGCTTTATTTTTGTTTTTTCACTTGGAAAATTGTTTTGAGCTTATCCTTAATGCATTTTTATTTGTGTTTGGTTAAAAGGTTTGTCCAGAGGAGTCGCTTTTATCCGGTTTGACAAAAGGTCAGAAGCAGAAGAGGCAATTACAAGTTTCAATGGTCACAAACCCCCAGGTTCCTCTGAACCCATTACTGTGAAGTTTGCAGCCAATCCTAACCAGAACAAAAATGTGGCATTGTTATCACAGCTGTATCATTCACCAGCTAGACGATTTGGAGGGCCAGTTCATCACCAGGCGCAAAGATTCAGGTACGTTAGGAAGAATAATCCATTTAAGGCCTATTCTGTCACCCACACTTCCACTGGGGAAAGTGTTGCACTGTTTCAACTGTAAAGTAATAAATATATTTGTCCTAGCATGTGTGAATAAATAGTAATGCACTGTGTATTTCTATGGTGTGTGTGTGTGTGTGTGTGTGGGTGTGTGTGTGTGTGTGAGAGATGTATCTAAAAATTGCTCAAGTAGAGTATAATTAAAGTAATAACCTATATGGAAAACTGTGTTGAAACTAATCCAGTCAAGTTTCTAGTTCCACAAAGTAGTACATAGTGAGAAAGTGTATGAAGTGTTGTTGTAGCCGTGTCGGTCCCAGGGTATTGGACCAACTTCTGTTGTCATAGTGTCACACCTTGGCAGGCTGATATTTTAACAAGACTTGTAATCTTGTCAAAGAACTATATCATGTTTGTCTGATAACATATTTTCTCATGAAACCATACTGATTTGGTGTTATACTTAGATCTTCTAATTTTTTAATGTTAGAATCCTTAATAAGTCGTTTAATTATTTTGCTGGGAATCATTGTCAGGTTAATTGGCCCATAATTATCCGAGTCATCCTATTTACTGTTTTAAAAATATTGCCAGTCCTGGAGTTTCTCCAGTTTTACAACATTTTTATTAAAAATTAACATTGGTTGTCAAGTCTTTTAAAACTCTTAAATGCAAGTTATCTGCACCTGCTGATTTAAAAATGCTTAATTGTAGAAGATGTTAAATAGCATCATCTTTAGTTACTGCTGGAAAAGAAACTATTTTATCATTTTATTTTATTACCTTTGCTTGAGAGAGGTGATTAAGGTTCTTAGTCTCAATATGAAGGATACTTAATTTTTTCACAGATTTTTTTAAGGATCTTTTTTGGTACATTTCAAGTGTGGTGTTACTGTACTGGGTTTTTGGTGTGATCCTTCCCGCAAGGACATTGAACTTAGAACTACTAAATGATAATTTTTATTAGGTGCTACCACAATACAAATAACTGAGCCCCAGTCATGGACCAGAACTGCACTGTGGTAGGCACTGCACAAATACTTAATAAAAGAATGGTCCCCGCCCTAAAAAGTTTCTAATCTGAGTGAATTATAATTGTGGTCACTGTTACTTAGAGGTTGAACTATAGGTATTTCTTGAACAACATTTGTATGTTGTTTAGGCTGTTCAGTTTAGTCCTCTTCTCTTATGTCCAGGACTAAGGTTTTTGTGTCAGTCTGGTGTAATGAAGCAATGTCTTGACACAAATAGTAGTTGGAGTCATCCATGTTCTCAAAGCTCCTGCACTCCTCTGCGCTGCACTTGGAACTGGTCTTAATAATTTATGGCATGTCATGGTTTTGGTGCTGCTAATGTGGACACATGCTCCAGAAGCTTCAGTGCTTCCACCTCTTGAATTGACATCACACCATGGGGCTCCTATTTGAAGGATTGGATGAAAACAATTAGGACTAACTTCGGCTAAGGGATGTGAAGGAATCTTTTGAGACCAGTGTATCTTCACTGTGAAGCAGAGAGGTAACAAAGCCCATAAGAAAATCCAAGGCTAAATCCATCCCCTTTATTGTTAGAGGCTTTTTAAGACTCAAATTGAGATACCTAAAGATGGGTCACATTACAAATATGGTATCTGGACAACTCTATCTTATTGTAGAGACAGGGTGGGTGAGGTAATATCCTTTAGTGGACTAACGTCTGTTGGTGAAAGACAAAATTTTGAGCTTACACAGGACCTGAACAAGCGTTTTGAAAGCTTGTTTCTTTCTCAAACAGAAGTTGGTCCACTAAAAAATATTCCCTCACTCACCTTGTCTCTTTAATATCCTGGGGCCAACACTGAACAACAGTGGAAGATCTCTCCTTCTAGGAACGGACGTAAAGGAGGTATTTTCGCTTCTTTCCAGCACTCCATCTTTGTCAAAGGCAGGTAAATAGAACATATCTCTGCCTCCAGATGTCAGTAACTGCTCTTTCCACCCTCCTCTCAAGAGCTGGGTTGCAGGAAGGGACTATAGCAAAGAGTAGCTGGACCTCACATATAAGCATCCTTTGATGTCACTAGTATGACAGTAAGAGCATCTGCCTTCATAAGTGATGCTTAAAGTTCATGAATGTTTGTTTTTCATTATGTCATCAGATGGAGATTCAGTATTAGGCCTGGTCCACACTAACCCCCCACTTCGAACTAAGGTACGTAGCTGAATTTGAAGTACCTTAGTTCGAACTTACCGCGGGTCCAGATGCGGCAGGCAGGCTCCCCTGTCGATGCCGCGTACTCCTCTCGCCGAGCTGGAGTACCAGCGTCGACGGCGAGCACTTCCGGGATCGATCCCAGAAGATCGATTGCTTACGGCCGGACCAGGAAGTAAGTGTAGATCTGCCCTTATAGAGGAAACGTCTTGGAGATAAAAAATTCTAATCACGTGACGTCTGAGACACAAGCCACTCTTTTGTGTTAATTGTCTGCATTTAGTAGATAAAAATTTGGATCATAGAGTTATAACAAAACAAGCTGGGTTTTTTTTAAAAAAACATTTGGTAAGAGACAGGATTACAATTGTATTTGCATTCTCATTTTAATTAGAGCAAATTCTCTTTCATTCAAAGCACTTTTCAGCATTACCAGAATTCTAGGACAAAGAGACAGATGAACAAAAATGGAAAAGGACCCAAGAAAAAGAGAGCAGAAACTAATAGAATTACTGACTAGCTGGCCATCCTGTTGCTTCATTTTTAATCCTAGCAGTCTGATAAGCAGCAGCTCTCACAGGGGTTGGTACTGGCTTTTCTATTAAGCAATTAGGATCCACTGATATCAGTATTTTCTTCAGCAACGCTGCCAGTAAAGTTCTGTAGTTCGTAAGTTGCAGAAGTGTTAGCTTTAGTTATTCATTCAGATTAAGTGTAGACATGTTAAATTTATGGCTATAGAGTATGTTGCAAAGTCTTACAGATATGTACTTGCACAAAGGGACTACTTCTCAACCACTAGATTTGTATCAGTTATTCTAGGAGAATAACTGCTAGTTCTGAGTGTATTCACTGGCTTTGGCGCTGAGTACATTCATGGTGCTTGATGCAGTGTCTGTTAAAGTCAATACAAGAACTTCCATTGACTTCAGTAGGTGTTTGGTTGGGCCCAAAATGTATAAGGATGAGAGTGCATGTTTGTTTTCCCCATTGACAATTATCTGATCAAGAACATTATGGAAGGGATCCAAGAATCTGTTTCTCTTTCACTTGAGTTCTGGAATTGTATCTTTCCTGTCCCAACATGGGATGCATGACCTTGTAAGTGTAAGAGTTTTCCTTAGCCAGCAAGTATCAGCTGGAACTGTTATAAATGCTGGGACTGAGGGCTGCATTAGTATTCATACACACTGGTTTTTGCAACCTCAGTGGGAACCACATAGGCCTGGAGGGCATCTGTCTTGATGCCATTCTAGGGACAATATAAATCTGGTCAGGGCTTCCAAATTCATCTAAACAAATGTGTAATTCTTATTCGAGTGCTTGCTCGTGTCCATTCCAGTGTAGGTGCGTGCTCGCCCCAAATGCTGCCGCCAGAAAGTATTTTCCCTCAGTGGTTTCTGTCGAGTCGGCTCTGTTGCCCCCTGGAGTTGCGCCCTCATAGCGCCAATATATAGGGTCTCACCGCACCTTGAGTTCCTTCTTACTGCCCATGATGGTCACTGGAACTTCTGCTCGCTGCACTTCTGCTAATACCTGCTCTAAGTGGATTGGTTCTGTAAAATTATAAATAGTTACCCTTTAGAGTTAAGTTTAGTTAGCTTAGCCGTAGTAGTAATGGTATAGTCAGCGAACCCCGCTTAGCAGGGCTAGCCCTTCCCTGAGCACCAGGATATGCCTCGGTCCCAGGGGTTCAAACCGTGTGCATCATGCCACAAACCAATGCCAGCTAGTGATTCGTATGCTAGCTGCCTTAAGTGTCTGGGAGAGACCCACGTGCAGGAGCTGCAGAAGTTTCAGACCCAGAACAGAAAAGGACAGGGCTTAAGTTCCTCCTCATGGAGGCAGCGCTCAGTTCCCCTTTGGAGCCAAGTCATGGGGACTCGGCACCGAGCACTTAAACTTCAGTGAGACGTATCCTGGCGTCTCTGAGGGAAGCGCAGGGCTGTTCCACCTCCCTGGCACCAAGGAAGGACTCCACACTGATGGCCCGGAACTCCCAACACAAACGCACATCACCAGCGCCGAGGAAGTCAACTCCAGCACGGGACGCTTGGCACTGCTTCCCATCGCCGATGCCGAGGAAAAATTAGAGAGAGACTGACTGGGGTGTTCTTGAACTCCAAGGTCTACGGGCCATAGAGATGCTGATGCAGTGCCACCTGTGCTGGGCCCCTCAGAGACGCTAGCAGGTAAGCGGTACCATTGACTCTGGCCACGGGAAGGGAACCGTTGAGTCCAGTACTATTGGATTCCCCACCAAGAGAGGCCACTGGGGTTCAACAGCCCTGGCACTGCCATCAAGGCCGGAGGCATTTGAGGCAGCAAGTGACTTACTATCCCTCCTGGTACCGCCATCCCTGGCCATTCAGGAATTAACAGTAGCAGCACTAGAAACGAGGACCACCGCAGCACAAAACAAGAGCCGTTGAAGTCATGATAGCGCAGCGCTGATCTCCCTCCCTCCTGGTACTGTTCTTCGGCACCAGTTGGTACTGCTCCTTCCTGGTCGCTGAGAAGTGACTCCTCGGACTCCAATTCAGAAGCGGAGTCCTACGCCTTGTGCAGGAGCAGACACCACTCCGAACGGCGGCACCCTATGGCTGACATGAACCAGGGCATGCTGCCAATAGCCTGGTGGCTGGCACAATGGCAAATGCCACTGCAGTGCCCATTCTGGAATCCCTGGGCTTTCCAGCCAATCCAGGGCCCCCAGTCCAGAAGGTAGCTCTGGTATATCAGAGTCAAGATCTTCCCTGCCATCTCCATCAGAACGGGGATCAGTC